CCTGAATCGCTAAGGAAATGTTGAAAAACAAAAATAAAACTGGGGGCATCACGTTACCTGATTTCAAGCTTTACTACAAAGCCGTGATCACCAAGACAGCATGGTACTGGCATAAAAACAGACACATAGACCAGTGGAACAGAGTAGAGAGCCCAGATATGGACCCTCAACTCTATGGTCAGTTAATCTTCAACAAAACAGGAAAAAATGTACAGAGGAAAAAAGACAGTCTCTTCAATAAATGGTGCTGGGAAAACTGGGCAGCTATATGCAGAAGAATGAAACTCGACCATTCTCTTACACCGTACACAAAGATAAACTCAAAATGGATAAAAGATCTCAACGTGAGACAGGAATCCATCAGAATCCTAGAGGAGAACATAGGCAGTAACCTCTTCGATATCAGCCACAGCAACTTCTTTCAAGATATGTCTCCAAAGGCAAAGGAAAGAAAAGCGAAGATGAACTTTTGGGACTTCAGAAAGATAATTTTAAAACTTCCTTTGGGTTTCTGTTGGCTCAGTCAGCTACATGATGAGTCTTGGTTTCAGCTCAGTTCATGAAGAGGGTCATGAGAATGAGCCCCACATTGGTCTCCATGCTGAGTTCCATGTCTGCCTGAAATTATCTCTCTTTCTCACTCTGCTCCTCCCACTCATGCTCTCTATCTCTTTCAAATAGATTTAAAAATCTTATTTAAAAGTTTCCTTTAAAAAAAAAAGAAATAAATTTAAGAAGGCTTCAATCACAAAATTTACCTGCCAGATGAATATGTCAGAGTAAGATCAAAAGGGCATATCGGATTATATTAAGTGAGACCCTGGTCTTCCCCAGAGGTCCCATCTCCCTACATTTCCTAACCCTCAAGTTACAGAAGATAAGAGCAGTTAAATGTGCTACAGAAAAAAATGATCTATCTGTTTCAGGATGTATGTCCTGATCCCTCTGCTTGTGTGATGGCGTCAGCTGTATTGAGAGATGCTACATTAGCTCCTGCTTGGTATATTCCCTATCCTTGGCTGAACCAACATCTACAATGTGTGTGGGATGTGTTCAGCCCCCCACCACCAAAGCATGAGCCACCTAAAAAACCCACACATGGAAGCAAGTAATAAGAACTGATTGAGGTAATCTAAGAAAACTGTCTCATGTGTAGGAAAAGAGGAAGGTGGCAATGGGTGATCTAAAAATTTTAGGGGCACCTAGGTGGCTCAGTCATTTGGGCATCTGCCTTCAGCCCAGGTAATGATCCCATGGTCCAGAGATTGAGCCCCACGTCAGATTCCTGGCTCAGTGGGGAACCAGCTTCTCCCTCTCCCTTTGCCCCTCCTCCTTGCTTGTGCACTCGCTCTCTCTATATCAAATAAATAAATAAAATATTTAAAATAAATAAATATATATATATGAAATTTTTAATGATTTGACCAAATTAACATAGCAAACACTTGAGAGATCTGGCATTTCATTCCAGACTTGCTTCAGTCTGAGAACTATGATCTACATGATGCTCTTGACTCATCAGGAACTATATGGGTCTTAATAAGACGTCATGGTCAGTAATACAAAGAGAAGTGTTATCTTGAAATTCACAAAAGAAAGGAGCATCCTAAACTAATCAGTAGTTTATTTGGCTGTTTTACTGCCCTCGTGGTCAGGCAATTCATTCATTCATTTATTCATTCACTTATTTGCTCACTAGAAAGTTTATTTTCTAGTAAACTGACCACTTGGAAAGTTGGAAAGAGATTGGTGAGCATGACAGTTCAAGCACTTTCTGCAGCTGAAGTTTGTTCATTTAATTTAATCAGTCATGCAGCAATTACATATTAAGTATGTATTTCTATGTGCCTAGCCCTGTGTGAAATGCTGAGGATACATTAGAGGGAATAACCAACATGGTGCCTGTTGAGCTGACACCCAGAGGGAAGACTGGCACTAATCAAACAGTGAAAACCAAGAGCAAGTGACTCTGACGATTGCTCTACAGGAAAGGTAAAGGGGCAATCAGAGTGAAAAACAAGAGAGCCTGACCAAATCTAAGCAGGAAGAGGGGGTTTCTTGGAGGAATGGACACAAACTAAGATCCGAAGACCTACATAGTTTTGCATCAAGAAAAACAAGAGTGGTTCAAGGACAGGGAATATGTGCAAAGCCTTTGCTCCAAAGTGGCACTGTGACTTTTAAAAATTAAAAGAAGGGCACCTGGGTGGCTCAGTCAGTTGGGCATCTGCCTTCGGCTTGGGTCATTATCCCAGGGTCCTGGACTAATTCCCACATCAGGCACTCTGCTTATCAGAAACCCTGATTGTCCCTCTGACTGCCACTCCCCCTACTTGTACTCTCTCTCTCTGTATCAAATAAATAAATAAAATCTTTTAAAAATTGAAAGAAATCCAATGTGGCCAGAATAATGGTGACTTTGTAATAGATGAAGCTGGAGAGGAAAACATGAGATAACCCAAGCAAATACTCATTGATTTATGGATTTGGGGTTTGATCGTACACAAAATGAGTTTAACAAAAGAGTGACATGATTTTTTGTGTGTTTTGAAAAGATCCCTCTGACTTGTGTGTAAAGGATGCATGGAAAGGTGAGAAGAATAAAAAGGGGTTGTCAATTAGGAGAATACTGCAGTTGTTCACCCAAGTAAAGATGGCAGCCAGCTAGGAGGAATGAGGAAGACTGAGTCAGCAGGACATACTGGGAACATACTTAGAAGGTAAAACAAGGATTGTATAATGGATAGGCTGTGGTGGGAAATAAAATCATTGTTGAGAGTAACTTTTATGGCCCAAAATTGTGCCGTGGGATGGTTGTAGTGCCATCCAGAGAGAGAAAGACATCATGGGAAAGGATTAAATTGGGGTAAAGATGCCAGCCTTCTACCAGAAGCCTGAGCTAAAGGTGTCTTCAAGATATGAGAAACAAACTGGAAATACTGGTCTAGATCTCAGAGACCCAATGGCCATCATTTGTATCTAGTGGTGACTAATCTAAAGAATAGATGCTACTGTCCAGAAGGAAAGAATTTAATGAGGACCAAAGTTGTTCTGGAGCTGATCCATTAGATGGAGCTATAAAGGAAACAAAGAGAGAAAACCTAGAAAAATGGGAGAATGATGTAAAAGGGTGTGTGAGTAGATCTAGATGGTGTGAGGATGCAGTATTTCATGAGAATGGATGAATAGTGTCACAAGTTATTGAGACACTTAGGAACAAGGAGATCATTGTATGAACAAGAGTACATTAATTAGCATAGACCAATGGAACAGAATAGAGAGCCCAGAAATACACCCTCAACTCTATGGTCAACTAATCTTTGACAAAGCAGGAAAGAATGTCCAATGGAAAAAAGACAGTCTCTTCAACAAATGGTGTTGGGAAAAATGGATAGCCACATGCAGAAAAATGAAACTGGACCATTTCCTTACACCACACATGAAAATAGACTCAAAATGGATGAAGGACCTCAATGTGAGAAAGGAATCCATTAAAATCCTTGAGGATAACACAGGCAGCAAATTCTTCAACCTCATCTGCAGCAACTTCTTCCTAGGAACATCACCAAAGGCAAGGAAAGCAAGGGCAAAAATGAACTATTGGGACTTCATCAAGATCAAAAGCTTTTGCACAGCAAAGGAAACAGTTAACAAAACCAAAAGACAACTGACAGAATGGGAGAAGATGTTTGCAAACAACATATCAGATAAAGGGCTAGCATCCAAAATCTATAAAGAGCTTAGCAAACTCAACACCCAAAGAACAAATAATCCAATCAAGAAATGGGCAGAGGACATGAACAGAAATTTCTGCAAAGAAGACATCCAGATGGGCCAACAGGCACATGAAAAAGTGTTCCACATCACTCAGCATCAGAGAAATACAAATCAAAAACCACAATGAGATACCACCTCACACCAGTCAGAATGGATAAAATTAACAAATCAGGAAATGACAGATGCTGGCGAGGATGCGGAGAAAGGGGAACCCAACTACACTATTGTTGGGAATGCAAGCTGGTGCAACCACTCTGGAAAACAGCATGGAGGTTCCTCAAAAAGTTGAAAATAGAGCTACCCTATGACCCAGCAATTGCACTACTGGGTATTTACCCTAAAGAAACAAACGTAGTGATCTGAAGAGGCACATGCACCCAAATGTTTATAGCAGCAATGTCCACAATAGCCAAACTATGGAAAGAACCTAGATGTCCATCAACATATGAATGGATAAAGAAGAGGTGGTATATATATACAATGGAATACTATGCAACCATCAAAAGAAATGAAATTTTGCCATTTGTGATGATGTGGATGGAACTAGAGGGTATTACACTTAGAGAAAGACAATTATCATGTGATCTCCCTGATATGAGGAAGTGGAGATGCAATGTGGGGGGTTTGGAGGGTAGGAAAAGAATAACTGAAGCAAGATGGGATCGGGAGTGAGACAAACCATAAGAGACTCTTAATCTCACAAAACAAACTGAGGGTTGCCTGCAGGAGGGGGTTAGGGAGAGGGTGGTGGGGTTATGGACATTGGGGAGGGTATATGCTATGGTGAGTGCTGTGAAGTGTGTAATCCTGATGATTCACAGACCTGTAACCCTGGGGCTAATAATGCATTATATGTTAATTAAAAAATATTTTTTTAAAAGAGTTGCTTGTTAGGGTGGCATCATGAGGAAAAGAAGCCATATTTGGAAGGGTTGAGGGAGGAAGGAGTAAGTTTCAGGCAAGGAAATGGAGACAGAGAGAAAAGTCAACTCTTGGCTGGTAGCTAAAGGGGAGGCAAGTAGTATATGTTTTTAAGATAGAAGAGAATCAAACATGTTTCCATGACTATGGGAGGAATACTGTTGAGATGGTCCCAGAGGGAAGGAAGAGAGAGGGGGAGAATGTATGAACAACAATTTAAAGATAAGTGATAAAGTATGAAGGATGGTATCCAAAGAGCAGGTGGAAGCACTCTTCCTAGAGGAACATAGAAATTTGCAGTAATGATCCAGGAGTGTGGACAGGATGTATGCTGAAATTTGGGTGGTATGGCCAATGGCATACATTTCACAAGGTGTCATTCTGAGGACTCCGATTTTCTCTGTGAAATAGGTGATGAGAACATTTGTTGAGAAAGGGGAAGAACACAGAAGATTCAGTGGCAGAACCAGTGCTAATGGAGTTTGGGGGAACAAGGTCATGCAGGACAACTTCCTGGCAGCACAGTATGCTCCTTTAGATGGGAAGGGAGACTCAGGGGAATCTTTAACAGAAAATGGAAGAGGTGAGAAACCACAGGTAAAGAACTCGGTTCAATCTGAGCCAGTAAGTGTTGGTTCTGTATAACCATCCCCATGAATTTTCCCATGTCATTACTGCTTTTCCTCCCTGGTTTCCCAGTGGCTGGAGGATTCCAGAAATATCAGGCATTCTTATAAGAAAGTCCAAAATGGATAGAGATAAGATGGCGGGGAAGTAGGAGGAGGCACCAATTCAACCTGTACCCTAAAGTGAGCTGATTACCTACCAAAGAATTATGATCACCCATGAAATCAGCCTGTGATTAGAATTATACACTTCTGGATCTCTACAGGGGCAGAAGATGCCAGTGGGCAGGTAAAGCAGAGTGAGAACATCAGATGATATTGGAAGATAAACAAAAGGGGGAGGGAGCAACCAGAAGCGACCCATTGGAAAGTAATACCCCAATATGAGAGTGCCCGGTGGTTGGGGACCAGCATTAACTTGGAGTCTGGTTGAAAGCACTCAAAAAGATCAAAGGATATTGGGGCAAAATTGTGGGAATCCAGGCGGTTAGGGACAGGGGCTTAAGTCCCCAGAGCCAGGACTGCCACCCCTGGTACTGAGTCAGAGAGAGTGCAGCAAAGAATCCCCATCTTGGCCCCTGAGCTGCTAGCCCGCCTGAGAGTGTCTGGGTGGTGGCTCCCTTGAGGGGCAGGGAGTCTCTCCAGCTGGCAGAACCACAGCCTTTTGCACTCCCCATGTGTGCCACGCTACCATAGTCTGAGTCGCGCCCCACACCCCTCCTGAGAGAGGTGCTGCAAGCACCAGCCTGTGCTCTCTCAGACCCAGAGAGTCTGAGCACTCCCAGCCTGGGCCATCAGGGAAATCTCAGTGTGATATCACTGCTTGGAACCTCTCTGGCAGTCTGGAGCTGCTCAGACAGCCATGGCTATAGAGGATCTGGGTACAAGCAGGAATTCCTGTGATTCCAGAGACCTTGACTGGGAAGGTGCTCTGCCAGTGGTAGAGGGGGAATTTATGTGCTCTGGAGCACCCAGAAGGGAACAGACTGAGGCTTCTCTCTGAGAGGGAGGTCTGGGGGCAGTTTGCTTTCCTCTAAACCTCAAAAAAAACATCAAAAGCTGCCAAGGCTAGAAAAAACAAAGGAACAAACAAACAAACAAACAAAACCTCCAGAGAACAAAAACCTGAAAAACTGGCTTCCTCAGAGCCCACCCTCTTAATGGGGGCAGGAAGACTTAACTCAAGGAACACTGCCTGAAAAACCACTTGGCAGGCCCCTCCCCAAAAAAGCCAACCAAAAAAAAAAGAATAAAAAAGACAAGAGAACAACCACCACTACCTCATAGATACAGCTTTTATTTTTAAATCATTCCCACTATTCTGTTTCATTTTTATAGATAAATTTTAACCTATTTACAATCACAGTGAGATGTCCAGTACATCAAATTCCATAACCTTTTAACCTGAATTTTTTGATACATATACCTGTGTTTTTCTTTTGCTTTTCTATTTTTTAATTGTTTTAAATTTTAGTTTAGTTTAGTTTAGTTTATTCTTTTTTTATTTTTATTTTTTAATATTCATATAGAGTTAAACTTCAAGGTAATCCCCTTTCCCCAATCAATGCTACCCCTATAGGTAAACCAGTTTTTAATCCTCCTTTATCTTAGGAATGTTGAGTCCTTTAACAAAGATATCAAGATACATCCAGGAAGAATCAAAATAACCTTCCTCGCCCACACTGAGAATTTATAACCACTCTCCCATCTTTTTCTTCCACCAGTGTTTCTGTGTATTTTTGTCCTGGTGTGGAGATTCCTTAAAAATTAAAAATAGAGCTTCCTTATGACCCTGCAATTGCACTACTGGGTATTTACCCCAAAGATACACATGGAGTGAAAAGAAGGGCCATCTGTACTCCAATGTTCATAGCAGCAATGGTCACAGTTACCAAACTGTGGAAAGAACCAAGATGCCCTTCAATGGATGAATGGATAAGGAAGATGTGATCCATATGCACTATGGAGTATTATGCCTCCATCAGAAAGGATGAATACCCAACTTTTGTATCAACATGGATGGGACTGGAAGAGATTATGCTGAGTGAAATAAGTCAAGCAGAGAGAGTCAATTATCATATGGTTTCACTTATTTGTGGAGCATAACAAATAACACGGAGGACATGGGGAGATGGAGAGGAGAAGGGAGTTGAGGGAAATTGGAGGGGGATATGAACCATGAGACACTGTGGATTCTGAAAAACAATCTGAGGGTTTTGGCAGGGTCTGGGATGGAAGGTTGGGGGAGACTGCTGGTGGGTATTATGGAGGGCACGTATAGCATGGAGCAGTGGGTGTGGTGCATAAACAATGAATTCTGTTACACTGAAAAGAAATTAAATTAAATTAAATAATAAAATAAAATGAAGAAAAAATAATAAAATAAAGGTACCTATTGCATCTGAGCTAGAAGAGTATTCAGATTCCTGAGTAGTAACAACTAATGGTGCCATCTTGGTTAGCTTCATGAATATTAATTTTGGTGGCTCCAAATAACAAGTCACCTTCTGATCCTACTTTGATATTCAAATTAATATAGCCTGGAACTGTTGTAATTTTTATATACTGATCCTATCTGAATTTGACAAGACAGATCTCAGCACCCTGTAGTTTGTAACCTGAAAACATTATCAGATTCTGGATGGGTGTCATTTTTCTTTGTCTCTCAACCTGAAACAATTTCTGTTTTTGGGTTCTCCCTTACTGGATCAACATAAGATACATGGAAATGTTCTTGGGATTGTTTTAGGTGAGGTTGGGTGCATTCAGGGGGCATCAGCATAGCTCTGAACCAAGGTACCAGGATTTCATTGGGCATCAAACCAATGTGTATTTCATTCCTTCTGAGTGTGGAGAAACCCCATCTCAGGGACTCTGGGATTGTTTCTTTGGGCATTCTTCAAAGGAGAGGCCAAAGCTGAAGAAGGTTGCTCCCTCTATAAAAGAACTCCTCTGTTTGTGGATTCACACATGTAGTAAGGGAACTTAACGAGAACTAAAGGTTCACTTCCTCATTTAAAACCATCAACTATATTTTAGATTCCTGATAATATTGATATTGACAGTTGTCCCCAGTATTTTCAATGCTTTTGTGAGTTGGAGTTCCCTACTCCATCAATATTTTCTGACATTAATTATTTAACTATTTTGTGGCACTTTTTCTTTTTAAAGTTTTTTTAAAGATTTATTGATTTACTTAAGTGAGAGCATGTGGTTAGAGGCAGAGGTAGAGAAGAGATAGTCTTAATATCCATACTGATAGCCCAGCTAGACACTGGGTTCTATCTCATGACCCTTAAATCACCACCTGAGCCAAAACCAAGACTCAGACAATTAACTGAGTTGGGTCACCCAGGTACCCAGACAGGTCTTTTTGAAGTGTGGGTGTGTGATTATACATGTGTACCAATCTCTGAATCCTTTTATTTTTCTTTTTACTATTTAATTTATTTATTTGACAGAGAGACACAGTGATAGAGGGAACACAAGAAGCGGGAGTGGGAGAGGGAGAAGCTGGTCTTCTGCAGAATAGAGAGCCCGATGCAGGGCTGGATCCCAGGACCCTGGGATCATGACCTGAGCCAAAGGCAAATGCTTAACAACTGAGTCACCCAGGGACCCCTCAATCTCTGAATCCTTACCTTGAAAATGAACAGAAAAAATGCTGAAATATAGTATCAGCCTAAGATGTGGTACTTATAAGACTTTTAAAAATTATATTTAAAGAAATTCTACAGAAAGATGAAAGAAGGCATAATGTGAGCTTTCCAATGACATATAAAAGAGTGCCACAAAATGACTATGCAAAATAATATAATCTGGCCACATAAGCAATGCAAATCACTGTGAAAGTTAAAGATATTTGCACTGAAAAACTGAATGTAAGTCATACACAGTGTTTGGAATAGTTAGACTGTTGGTTGAAAATTATTGACTCCACACAGATGGCATTAAAAAGAACTCATTATTGTCCTCCTTTACTTGTCCACATATGAAGTAAGGAGGTTTGAGGAAAGTAGTAAGGTAAAATATGAGGAGATAAAAGTTGAAGGACTGAAAGCCAGAGATGTTCTAGAACAATGCTACTCAGTCATGAATAAGCAGGGGAATCCCCCTTGATCTTGTCACAATGTGGATTCTGATTCAGCAAGTCTGAATGTGACCTTAGACTGCAAAGAAGCTCTGGACAATGCTGATCCTGCTGGTCCATGGACTGCACTCTTAGTAACTGGGCTATTAGGGTCATGACTGCTTTGGACCTAGGACTACATTTCCATACGGCAGTGGTAACAAAGAAAGGACCGAATCATTTCAAATTCACCAACCATGGCAAAACAGGGTAGTTTTATTAATCCATTCACTGGAAATGAAAGGCAGTCACATTTCTCTGCTATCAATGTGGTGATCATTGAATGCTGACTTTTTTTCATTCCTTCTAGTATTTCATCCACATGGAATCAGGAACTCAAACATGTGCTTCAGAATTTCTCCTCCTAGGATTTTCAATGAAATTGGAGGCTCAGTTCATGCTCTTTGGGCTGTTCCTGTCCATATACATAGACACCTTCACTGGGAACCTTCTCATCATCGTGGCCATCTGCTCAGACTCCCATCTTCACACGTCCATGTAATTCTTCCTCTCCAACCTGTACTTCACTGACATGTGTTTCACCTCTACCACCATCCCCAAGATTCTGCTGAACATTCAGACTCATGGCAAAGCTTGAAATAGGACAACATGATGCCCCCAGTTTTGTTTTTCTTTTTCAACATTTCCTTAGCAATTTGGGGTTTCTCCTGATTCCATACAAATTTTAGGATTGTTTGCTCCAGCTCTTTGAAAAATGCCATGGAATTTCGATCAGAATGGCATTGAAAGTATAGATTGCACATGGAGCACTGGGTGTGGTGCAAAAACAATGAATACTGTTATGCTGAAAATAAATAAATAAATTATATATATATATATAT